AATTGCAGTGGTTGGTGGACGCCGTGTGGCAACCGCACGTCGACGGGTACGCCATGAAGTGGACGAGCAGATGGCATCTGCGGAGGCCGAAATTGCTCAGGAGGGTAAGCACAGCATACATACAGTTGCTTCAATTTTATGTTTTCTTAATCCATGTAATAGACCTTTGTTCCATTATAATTTTGAGTCAAATGAAAAAACCTCTTTTGTTGTATTTAGTTTCTTTGAGAATTAAAGAATTTGAAAAATGCGAAAAATATATATCAGGATGATGATACATCTAAGAAGTGTGGATGTAGTCTGTGTTTCATCCCTTAGCTGTAACTCATTTTTCGCGGAAGTTCAGATCTCAGGCATGAGCGGGTGACACTTCCAGTTGGAGCATTGCTGGCATCCAATTAGCTCTGGGAATATCAATACAAAGCCCATGGGTTGGTGGTATTTGAAAGTAGCATAAGTGGTGACAACTGCTAACAGGAACCAGTAGTTCATAAAATTGTCCATAACTTTCTTTTACATTCTTTGAAGACGAAATAATGTCAGTTTTCATTTCTTGGCACTGCCGAAAATCCTTCGTATCGGAAATCGAAAATTTACTATTGAAACGAATAAGACTCGTAAAGAAACTGATTGCTCGACTGGCGACGAAGAAGTCTTAACTTCCTGCACAAAAATACGAGTGGTTTTTTGTTGTTTTATGAAAATTTGTTCATTTAGCTGGAGGCAGTGGTGAGCTGGACTTATCAGAAGAGGAACAGGTGGCCGAACATAAGGATGAACATATTGGCAAGAAGAAACTGGCAAAGTTACAGGCAAAAGAGGAACGAAGGAAACAACGGGAGGCGGTAAATCATTGTGCTTATTAATCTGCGCAAGATAGGGTGTGCTTCTTGGACGGGAATAGGTTGTGTCGGGAATAGGTTTCTACGGCTTTTGACGGTAATTTTTAACGGTAACTGGAATTTTGTCCACGTATACTCTGAAGAAAGAGCACAAAATTCCCACTTTTGCGGAACTTGTTTTTTTTTCTGGCGCTTCCTATTAAAAAAAACAACGACTTTTTTACAGGAACTGCTAGAACGAGAGGAAAGAAAGAAAAGGGAGCAGGAAAGGGAGGAACGCATGCAGAAGGAGCGAGAAAAGCAGGAGGAAGAAGAGGAAGCGGAACGTGAAAGAAAACGCTTGGAACGGGAGGAACGCGAGAAGCGGGAGGAGGAAGAGTACCAAAAGGTTTGTTTTGTTTGATTGATAATTTTTCTGATTAGACAAACCCGGCTTGGGCCTGAACCCTCGAAACAACCCCGGGAAGGGCCTTACTATCAGGAGTATCGCATAACTGGTCAGGATCTGTTGCACTAGTAGTGGATACGTTCGAAGGCAATGTATTTATCATCTGCACTGTTTGCTCAAGCCTGACATTTTCCAGCTTCGAGAGGCATTTGTGGTGGATGAGGAAGGCTTCGATCAAGTGGATGAGGATGAATCACGAAATCTTCTGCGCGAATTTGAAGATTACATACGAAGAACTAAGGTTAACAGTTTGAAAAGAAACAGTCTTTGGATAATTCATAAAAATCTTGCAAAAACTATTATGATTATGTCGAAACCACAGTTAAACGAAGTTCCAAATCAGTGATATACTCATCCCTTGCAAGGAAGAATAGGAAAACGCGACCCAGATTTGCCCTCTTTTCTCCCCACTTTTCCCATGATCAGTTGTTACTGAGCACGAACGTTTCTGCAGGTTGTTAACATGGCTGAGATGGCGTCACATTTCAATCTGCGAACTGAGGAAGCAATCGATCGGCTGAATTTCCTGATTCAAAATGGTACACTGACGGGTGTGATGGACGACCGAGGAAAATTCATTTATATTACTCCGGAAGAACTTCAAGCTGGTTTGTTTTATAACGACAAACAGATAAAGGGGGGGGGGGGGGGGGGGGGGG